CTTTCTTTTGTGTAAAAGATCTTGAAGTATCTTCTGCAGGGCTGGCTTGGTAGTCAAGAATTCCTTTAGTTTTTCCTTGTGTGGAAGGTTTTCATTTCTCTTCAATTAAGAATGGTAGTTTTGCTGAATAAACTAGTGTAGGTTGACAGTTGCTTTTTTTCAGGGCCAGAATTATGTCTTTCTGTGACCTCCTTTTAGTTAGAGTTTGAGTTAAGAAATGTGCTGTAATTCTAATGGGTTTGCCTTTATATGTGAATTGTCTTTTATCTTTTGGTGCTTTCAGTATTCTTTGTTCTGTGTACTGAATGTTTTTATTATGATAAGTCTGGGAGGGATTCTTTTTTGGTTTTGATGATTTGATGTTCTGTAAGCTTCCTGCACCTGGATGACTCTCTTTTTCCTCAAGGTTAGGGAAGCTTTCAATATTATTCTATTGAATAGGTTGTCTATGCCTTTAGTTTATTTCTCTTCTTGTTCTAAACCCATGATTTGTAGATTTGGTCTTTTCATGGTGTTCCAGATGTCTTGTACTTTTCCATCCATATTAGCATTTTTGGTAATCTTTTACTGGTTGATATACCAGTTGTCTACTGTTCCTGATACCCTGTTTTTAAATTGCTCCACTCTGTTGGCCAAGCTTTTAATTGAGATTGTTATATGGCATATTGAGCTGTTTATTTCAGATTGATTATTTTTCAGGTTTTCTACTTCTGTATTCACTTCCTCTTTCATATCCTTCATAGTCTTCTTAATTTCATTCATCAGTTTGTTTGTATTCACTTTGGGCCTATTTAATTCTTTATTCACATGCTCTTTGAGATCAGACACTAGCTTTTGTATCTCTTCTTTGAGCTTGTTAATCATGCTTAGTATTGTTTTTTGGAATTCAATAATTGATGTTTCTTCCTCTATGGAGTTGTTTAGATCCTTAGTGTAGGAGTTGGCTTTTGAGGGAGAGTGATTGTCTTGCTGTTTCATTTTTGCATTGATTACACACCTCTCAATATGAACACTGATATAAGTTGACTCAATGCCCCAATTCAAAGATTTAGAATAGCAAAGTGGGTTAAAAACAAGACCCAGCCATGTGTTCCTTGCAATAAACTCATCTCATTTATAAAAGAAAACACTGGCTTAGAGTCAAAGGGTAAAAAAAGGTTTTCCAAGGAAATGGACCCATATGAGCTACCCCTACACTCATATACAACAAAGTAGACCTTAGATGAAGACTCAATGAATTAATAGGAAATTCAGTGGAACATATAGATCTAGGGAACAACTTTCTAAGAAGAACTCAAAAGACTCAGCATCTTAGAGAAACAATGAACAACTAGGACTGCATCAAACTAAAGAGCTCTGCACTACAAAAGAAACAGACACTAGACTCAGGAAACAGATCAAAGAATGGGAGAAAATGCTTTGCCAGCTACTCATCTGATCAGGCACTATATTCCAGAATCTACAAGGAACTCAATAAACTCACACCCAAAGAATCAACATCCCAGTGAAGAAATGGACACATGAATTAAATAAGGAATTCTCAAAGGAAGAGGTACAAATAGTCAGTAAGTACATGAAGAAGTGTTCAACCTCCTTGGATATGAAAGAGATCAAATCAAAACAAAACCTTGGATTTCATCTCACCTGACTCAGAATGGCCATATTCAAGGGCAATAACAACATTAAGTGCTGGTGATGATGTGGCAAAACATAAACACTTATACACTGTTGGTGGGGATGCAAATTAGTACTACCATTATAGAAATCAGTGTGGAGATTCCTCAAAAAGCTAACAATAGAGCTGCTATATGATCCAGTGATACTATTCTTGGAATCTACCCAGAGGAACATTGACCAGGATCCAATAGAGACTCCTGTATACCAGTGTTCATCACAGCAATATTCACAATTGCCAAGCTATGGAAACAACCAAAATGCCCTACACCTAAAGTTTTACTGCTTGAATCACACCTCCATTCCATTTTCTCTGCACATTTTGGAAATGGGATCTTGAGAACTATTTACCCAGCTGGTGTCAAATCATGATCTCAGGCTCCCATGTAGTTAGGATTGCAGGTGTCAGCCAGAGTTGCCCAGCTATTTCAGAGATTTCTATGTGAGAAGATCCCTGAGGTTCTCTGCTTTCCCAGACCTCATTGGGAATTGTCTCCCTGGCATTCATTTAACCATGGTGAGCCATCTAGTCTGCTGAAGTTAAGCCTCATGTGGATCCAGGTTGTACAGCACAATTAGGTGGCCGACTCTGGCATCCTCCAAATGATGCTTGTTTTTTAGGTCTACAGAATGCAACAATCATCCATGGAGATTTCAAAGGATTTCCTGGTTGGTCAAGCAGTATACAGTAAGGCCAGAATCTCTGCAAGCAGCCATCGAGAGGTCAAGATGTGGAGCTGTGAGAATAAATGCAAGCTGCCTGGGAGACTACCAGAGGTCAGTTGCCAGAAAGTTGGATGATATGTAGAGGGAAGGCCACAAGCTGTGAGCACAGCCAACCCAAGAACAGCCATCTAGGTTGCACATCTCAAGGGACAGAACTGCCTGAAATCTTGGGGCTCAGATCACAGAACCGGTGTCCCTGATGCCAGCCCCTGATGCTGAAGGATTCATTGTTTGCCATGCTTGCTTTTGTTCTTCCTTTGGTCTTATTTCTCCTTATTGTTTCCTTTTCCTCCCTTTTGGAATGAAAACATTACCTTTCAACAACTATACCTTGACATGTCTAAAATTCTTTTTGATTTTTCTGGGGATTTACCATTAAGAGTTTGGTTTGGGTCTCAGAGGAGACGCTCAACTTTTAGCAACTCTGGGACTGTTAAGATAATGGAAACAGTTACAGATGGACTGAATCCATTTTCCATTGTGAGATGGAAATGTACTGAAGGCAGACATTCAGTACATTTCACATATATGGTAACACTCATAAGAGTAACACAAATATAGGCCACATTTTAAATAGTAGGATTGCCCAAATTGCAGGGTTTTTCAGAATGTTACTGATCACAAACAGCACAACTATCAAAAGTTTCATTAATCATTTTATATGCCAAAGATTTTGATGTAATGCTTTTTGGGTAAAAGAGAGCTTTAGCTGGTCATTTTACATATATTAAACTGACACTGTTATTAGCCAAACCTTTAACCTAAGTTCAGAGACCCTAGTCTTGGTTATAGGACTGACATTCCATATCCTCATCTGGACAAAGGATACAGGATGCACATGTCCATGCTATTAGTTTATACTAAAAATTTGTTATTGAATTTGAAATTGTATGACTGGGAAAGGGGCAGGCTGTTGTGGTAAAAATGTTTATGTCTCCATTGAAACTGGTGATATCTGGCTGTCTTAATAAGCACGGAAAAGGTAGCAGTAAGGACCCAGATTCACGTGGCCAGAGGAAGGTTGGACGTGAAACAGATGGGACTGAAGCCAACGGCCTGCAGTCTGGATGACTCCCTGCCTCTGCCCACCATCATTGCAGGAAACTCTCAGTCCACCTCTGCTTCCAGTTCCCTCCCATAGAGGAGTACCTAGTAGACAGAATCACCATAGGTTGTATGGGTTGATAAACAGAAGGTCCAGATCTTTATATCCCACATGGATGCATCCAGGCAGAATATCTATACATAGTGAGGATGATAATAAAGGTTTATGAAAGGATAGGGAATAAGTTACTAGAGGCCATGGTGGGCCAGGTATGAGGCAGAGCACAGAGAGCTCTTCCTGTTTCCAGGTGCTTTTAAAACCTGTGCAAATCTATGGGAGATGAAAACCTGGGTGATGCTTGATCACCAAAAATTATTGAGTGGGGATGGCTCTGGGTGTTCCCTGGCTAGGGTGCTGGTTTGATCTAAAGCATTAATAATCTGCACATATTTGCAATGAAACAGAAGATTCAGAGATAGGGAGAAAAATGTTCAACCTGAAATGTAATATTAAATCAGATGAGACCCATTCTCTCCCTATCTTAGCTTGCCTTGGTATCATTAGGTGAACAATGAAAGTTCCAGCAAAATATTGGCATCCTCACAAGTGTTGCTAGTTTTCCCTCTGACTTTCATAATTATTAGATACCAATGACATTGGCACCACTCTGGTTGTAGCATTATAGGCCCTGAGATGTCCTCATGAATTTCCTTGCTACTTAAAATTTTCCTTTCCCAGAGGGAAGGCTCTGCCCCAGCACCTCACCTTTCTCTCCCTTATTTTAAGATTGCTTGGAGAAAGTAATTTAAAGTAATTTAATCTCTGGGATCCAAGGCCTACATTGGTGGGGCACGCATTTTTCCTCAATCTTCAAGATGCCATTGCCTGTCCTAGTAGAGCTCTTTGAGGTTGTTACCTCATGTTGTACACCATGGAATTTTCTGGACTGAAATCCCATCCCTGTAACCCCGGGTCACCCAGGGACAGCACAGGGTTGAGCTGGGGCACAAGAGACCACTTCAGTGGGGTCTCTAGAACTTTTTGCCAGCGTTGGCCTACAACCTTGATCCTTACGTCACTCTCTGGAGTAGGTAGGATTACAGGGTTGAGCCACCGGCCTGGTGCAATGCATTTAAGATGAGAGTTTTAAACTAATTATTACAGAATATGCTGGACTAATGACAGCAGAATTTAATAAAGAAGCAGGATTCCACATGGCTATCACGTAGGTAAGGACTAGTCCTCAACCATCTCATCCTGGTCTCTTTCACTAAAACCACTGGGAAATGAAGTTTCCCTTGTCACATGAGACCTGCGCAGAGGCTTGTGGGAAATGTAGTCTCACCCAGTCCTGTCACCAGTATCAGCAAGAGTGCAGCTCTTCCGGGTTTCTTCTGCGCAGGCGCTGCCTCGCCCCCGCCAATTTCCGCCCGGAAGTTCCTAGAACTGCTTCCCTGCAGACGCTTTACCGCGGACTTTGAATTCCTCCACGGACTACCTGAAGGTCCCTGGGACGGTGACAGAGAAAGCGGCCACAGAACTCTGGGGTGCAGGACCTGCGACCCTGAGGAGGTGTTGCCAGATCCGCAGGTGGTTGTCCCGCATGCCTGTGACACAGATGGCGGGCGGAGCCGAGCCGGGCTGGGAGGGAAAGTCGCAGTGGCCTTGTGTGTGACTGTTCGGCTGTCTGCAGAATGACTGCGGCCAGGAAAGCGCACCTTGGATCAAATCCTTTGCTCACTTGGTCGTGTCACATCTAGTGGCGTCCTTGTGGCCAGGGCGCGTCAGTGGCACAGCGCAGATCGTTGTCTTGCAGGTAAATGGAGGCACCTCCTTGGAACTGTCATGGGGTCACTGTTCCATGACCTCATGGAAATGTACAAGTTCCATGTACATTTGTTATGCTCGAACATAAGCAAAAATGCTCTGCTGCAGCATGCATGTCTCCATGAAAAGAGGAGGAATTACAGCGGGAATGGCTTCTGGTGCCCCGTGGGCAGTACTTAGTTCCTCCTGTAGCCCAAGTGACTTTTTTTTTTTCCTTTTTTGGCAGTACTGGGGTTTGGACGCGGGGGGCTGTCAAGCACTGCACCCTTGAGCTTTACCCCCAACTCGTTTTGGTTAATTTTTCAGATTGGGTCTTTTTACCACAAGCTTTTGTTTGTTTTGTTTAGCGGTGGTGGAATTTGAACTCAGGGCCTTGAGGAAGCAGCTTTAGCACTTGAGCCAAGCCCCAGCCCTCTAATAGGGCTTGCTTTTGTCTGGGGAAAACCAGGATCTTTCTCCTACCTCACCTTGTGTAGCTAGGATTGAAGACATGTGCCACCACATCCAGCCCCCAGGTGCATTTTTTTGTTGACTAGTATGCTCTTTTTAAATTTTTTTTATTTTTCATTGTTGTGCTGGGGGCCCCAGGTGCATTTTTAGCAAAGACATAATGTTTTTTTAAAGTAATTTTTTTAAGTGGGTTGGAGTTTTAACTCAAGATTCTGTGCTTGCAGTAAATACCTTCAAAATGGAGGGGATCCAGTTTAACATACATGGTTCCCTTTTGTTTACAGTAACAGGCATGTTTTCACTGGGGACTTTTGTTGCCTGTACTTGTACAAGGGACTTGTCTCCTACAGAAAGGTGGGGTTTTTTGTTGTTGTTGTTGTTTTGTTTTTGTCTTTATTTCCAGCTAACATGTAGAGTTTTGAGCAGGAGAATCTGGACCAAACATTGCCTGTTGACTCATGAGTCTGCTGTTCTCTCAGCTACACCTCCAGAATGTTCTTCTAAGAGAAATACAAAGTAAACCAATTTCTGGTGAGTTGTTTATTCTTCACTTTGCTTTACATTATATTTTATGAGCTTTATGAAATCTATAAATATAAGTGGAATTGTAGAAATGAGTAAAACAGCTTCAGCATAATGCACATAAATAAGATAGAGTTGGTGTGTAGGCATAGGCAGGTTCTTTACAGTTTTTTTCTTTGTCACTACTGGGATTTGAACTCAGGGATGAATGCTCTACCACTTGCTAGGCAGACAGTCTACCACTTCAGTCACTTTATCCAGTCATAGGCAAGTGTTGAGATGCTAAAAACATCTGTGCTGGTTACAAATTTGTCTCTGGACTTTTTTTGGTGGGGAGTACAGTATTGAGGTTTGAACACCTTGTACTTATTAGACTCTTCTACCTGAACTATGCCTTCAGTCCTTTTTCCTTTAGTTATTTTTCAGGAAGTTTTGTGTTTTTGCCTGGGGCACCATAATCCCCTATGTTCACCTCCTTTGTTGCTGGGATTATAGTGTGCCCAACCACACTAGCTTGGTTTTTGAGATAAGGCCTTGCTAACATTTTTGTCCTGCTTGCCTTGAACCACAGTCTTCCAATATGTGACTCCAGAGTATCTAGGGTTACAAGTGTGTGCCACCATGCCTGGCAAATCTCTGATCTTTCTGATGCCCTGACAAGGGGAAGACACATTTGATACATGATTTGAATGCTACCTGAGAAGAGAGCATGCTAACTTCTCATGGGACATAAAAACTTCACCATAGGCCAAAACATTACCTGCTTTCATAGATGGTGTAGTGTTTTTCGTGATCAACCTGGAAATAGCACTTCTGATGTTCTGCAGTGGAAATGGTCATATGGTGCTAATGAAATACTCCCTTAATAAATTTTTCTGGAGTTGCTAAAATAGTGTGCACCCAGGCAAATTTTGGAAGGCTATATTTGATTATTGATAAACCTGGAATATTTGATGATTGAGTGGACCACATGTTCAGTGACTCTGTACCTGTCTTTCTGTCCACATGTACATGTGCACATGATTTAAAGTTTAATTTCCCAGCAGATCTTCTCATTGCTTATTTGTCCTTTAACCCACTCAGCATTGTCTTAGTTCAGCTACTCAGAAGCCCATTAATATTTTAAGTGTAGTCCACATCCATCACCATTTATCATATTTGAAGGTACTTCTGGTGATGTGCTTGACATTCTTCTTTGTAGTCCCTGTCACAGCCTTTCTCATGATGTCTTCTCTGTTGCCCTGAATTCTGCTTTTTCTGCTCCTTAACATAACTCTACCAAGTGCTCCATCATTGGCCCTGTTCCACTCACTCTGTGGTTCTGGATTGATCTAGCTGTCAGTGGTTTATACTTCCTTACATACAGCATTGCAGCCATTCTGCCAGTGATCAAACCATCAAAAATGGGATTTTTCCTGAACTCCTACCTCTGTGTCAGGTCTAATCTCATCTGGTGTCAACTTATGCAACTTTTGTACATTCTTTTCTTTTGTCCTACTATTTGCATAGTGTGTGGAAGGACAGGATCTGATCATGCTCATGAATAAACATGGTTACTAGAGATAATCATTCTTAGCATAACCCAAAAAGTGTGTTTGCACAGTTCAGTGCCTCTGAACAGAACACGTGATGACATCTTCAGGAGTCCCCTAGAAGAAAGCATTCAGGAGTTAGGCTGATACATTTGAGAAAACGTCAATGAAAAAATATGCAAAGAAAAAAAAGGAAACACAAATTTTCATAATGTCTAACTTGTTTTTGTATGTTTCTCAGTGGCTATATTTATACTTTTTGTTAATACACAGTTGTATGTAATTCAAAAGGATCTGTCATGTTTACAAACTCCTTTAAAGACTGCATTTAATTTCACTGATATTTTAGCTGACTATTTAAGAATGAATAACAAAAAATGGGCGTTTGCATCATTTTTGACTATGTTTATCGGCTGTAACTGTAGCTTTTAGTTGGTTAAGGATAAAATGTTCATTAGCTGAACATTTTAAATTCACAGTTATATTTTGAGGCAGAATGTAATTGTGAAATGTGCTTTACCATTCTGGTATTTGGAGCCTAAAGCTAAATCTAAGCCTCCAAAGTCCATGTTTCAATCTAAGGTACTTGCTTTGGTCTTTAGTGATGCTTAAGGTTTTCCATCCTGAAAACTTACTGGTTTAAATAGAACTTCTCTTTACCTGTGACAATTTTGAGGGTCAGGGAAGTAGACACACAAGTATGGCTTGTGCTGTGTGTGTGTCCTGGTGTTTCACTGTGTCTCTGGTCTGCTTCAGGGCAGTGTGGTCAGCTACAACATGTCTCTTATGCCAGCTGGAAGGTCAATAGGGGCATGATGTTTGCGAACTGACCAAAAATGACTCACATTTTGCCAACGTTTAAAATGTACTTGGCCTCTCTCAGTTCTCCAGAGATCTTTTCCTTCCTGTTTTGACACAGGTAGGCAGGTCAATTAAATCAGGTTCTGGTTATTATCTGGGGCCTAACAATTACATCAGTCTCTTGTCTGGCATCGAGATCAAAGAATTGATCTGAGAAACAAGGAGTGTGTGGCAAAGATTATTGAAAGTGGAAAGTGAAAGAAAGCTCATCAAGAGGAGATCAGGGATATAGCCATGCAGCTCAAGAGTACAGTTGCCTGGGGTCTCTGGTTTTATGTGGATTGAACCAGGCTGGTGGAAAAAACCTGGGTCTTTCTGCTATTGGGCGTGTATGGCAATGTTATATAACCGATTTCTGATTTGCGTGTTCCTTCCAATAATTCACTATGTTAAAATTATATGCATTACATCCAAGTAATATTAATGATGCTTTAAGTAGGAAAAAACATCTAAAGGGTTACTAAAGGTGACAGGAGGGCTGCACCACACATGCTTTCAGAAGTGGTTGGTTATCACCTGATTTTGCAGGATGTGGGGCCCATTAGTACTGCAGTGTTAACTGTGAAAGGGCCCTTTTGGGGACCAGGGAGGTTTGGATCTTATTTCCCCTGCAGGTCTTCACATTAATCTTGTATGCCATAGATTCCTACATCATGGTGGCCTGTTATCTCCGTGTCCACACACACCCAGCACACAGTGAGGAGAGTGGCATGAACATGGAGGGCTTGGGTCTGTGGGAGGTACCCTGCTGCATTTATCTGAGTGTTTATTCCCATCAAGCATCTGTGCCTGTTTCTTGATTACAGCCTAGTCCTAGTCCTTAGGAAAGAACTCATCCCTCTTCACTCTGCTCTCTGGGCTCTTGTTCTCTGAGTGGATGTTATGTTTTCTTAAGAAATGCCTCGGTTTGCCGTTGATGATCTTTCTCCACCTGTGGCTTGTTTACATTATCCAATGTCTCCCTTTTCCTTTCGTGTGTGTGTGTATGTGTGTTTGTGTGTATTGATCTCAGTGCCTCATGAATGCTAAGCATACACTGTACTGCTGAGCTACACCCCAAGTTGTCCCTGCTGTTCATTTTTTTTCTGACTCTCTTGTCCTTGGACACAGGCAATGACAGGGTGGAATCACTTTTTTTAAGGGGCATGCTTCCTGTGTACCAAAATCTTTTAGACAGGAGCTATTCCTTCTCTCCCCCCTGCCCACACACACTGTTTGTAACAGGTCCTTGTTCTCTGGCCTCCCCTTCTCTAAGGCAAACTTTGAAAGTTGAATGGTCTTCAATTCATCTCTCCCTCTCACTTTTCTCAGAGGCAGATAGAGGAGGCCTGGTAGTCCTTTCCACCTTCTTCCCAGAAGTCTCCTTAGGCAAACCCTGAGATGGTGAGCCTCCCTCTGTGGTTCCATGCTGTGAGAGGTAGTAATTTTGCTGAATATTCTCCAGTCTGTGATCCACAAAACTTTCTCTCGAGGTTTCAGTGACACATTTATCCTCACCAAAGAGTCCTGACTCACTTCCAGTCTGCATTAGGAGTCCTGCAGGCCACACCTCTGCTTGGTTTCCCAGCATTGCTGCACATTGTAGCTTTTTATTCCCATAATACTCCTACTTTGCAGATTTTAATTTTCCCATCTGTGTAAAAGCTCTGCTCAGCCAGATGAACATGCAAAATGCCTGTAATTCTGTCTACTCAGGAGGCAGAGATCAGGAGGATCAAGCTTGAAAACCAATCCCTGGCAAATAGATCCTGAGATCCTACTTTGGAAATAATCAATTAGCAAAAAAGCCCTGGTGGAGTTGCTCAAGGTGATAGTATGAATGTCTGCCTACCAAGCATGGGGCCCTGACTTCAAACCCTAGTGCCACCAAAAGTAATAATAATAATCAGCTGAAATTCTGGTGACTGTGTCTTCACTTCATGATTTTGGAAGACTCTTGTGTCTGGCTCATCTCAGGCACAGATGAAGTAAAGTAAGAAGTAGGGAGGATCATCGAGAAACCCAATGGGTGCTGGTGTTCCAGGAGACTCACTGTTGTCTGGCACTGGTAGTTTTGGGGCTTATTGGGATTGCCCACAGCACACCTGCTTACATGTGGTTCTGCACCAAGGAGGTCAGAGGGTAGTTGGTGACTGGCTTCCCACAAAATTAGTGTTCCAAGAGACACAAGTGAAGTTGCATGACTTCTTGCAGCCTTACCTTTGAAGTTCCCGAATGTCAAGTTTGCCATGTTCCATTAGCTAACTAAGCCACTGAGGCTGGCAAGGTTCAAGGCTCGTGTTTCCACCAAAGGGAAGAATTGGAGAGGACTTGTGGTCCAGAAACCCATTGGTAGCAATGTGTGTATTTGTCACAAATACATTGTCATTTTCTTTATGAATACTTATTTGACTCACAGTTTATTTCAAAGTATAGTATTTGATCTGCAAATACTGAGGCTTTCTGGATATTGTTTTTTTTCTAGGAGCAGTTGGGCTAGAAGTCAAACCTCATGCTTGCCAGGCAGATGCTGTACCACTTGAGTCACCCCACCTGTCTTGTTTGGTTTCAGGGTTAGGGCAATGCTGCCATTAGGAAATAAATTAAGAAGTGCTGATTATGCTTCTGTTCTCTAGAAGAGATTGTAGGGAATTGAGAGAAGTTGTTCTGTAATGTGTAGTTGAATTTACCTGTGAACTCCTCTGGTTCTTGTACTTTCTGTTTTTGAAAAGCTGTTCATTGTTTTTTGAATTCCTTCTTTTTTTGTGTGGTGATGCTATGGTTTGATCTCATGGCCTTGTTCTTGCCAGGAAGCTGTTCTACTCCTTGAGCCAACTCCTTGCCTTCAATTCCTTTAATAGAAATGTGTTCACATTGTGTGTTTTTAACCTGTGAATTTGGATAAATTGTGTCTTTTATGAAATTGTTCCATTTTATATAGCCTATTGAATGTATGGACATAGAGTTGTTCACAATATTCCCATGTTATTCTTTTACTGTTCATGGAATATATAGTGACATCCCTTTTTCATTTCTGTTATTAGTACTTTGTGCCCTTTCTCTTTTATTTTCTCACAACCTGACTATATGGTTAAGGATTTTATTGATTTTTTTTTTTTTGATGGTACTTGTGTTTGAACTCAGAGTCTCCTTTATGCTCAGCTGGTTCTCTCCATTTGAACCATGCCTCAAAGCCATTTTTGCTCTAGTATTTTTCACATAGGGTCTCGTGGTTTCTGCTGGGCTGGCCTGAGACTGCAATCCTCCTACCAATAGCCTTACAAGTAGCTGAGATCATGCCACCACACCCCAGCCTCTCAAACTGTGGTCCTATCCATCTCTCTCCTGAGTTGCTGGACATTAGGCACATTAACTGGGAATAATTTTATTGATGGTTTTTCTGTTATCAGGTAGTATGTTTTTCTTCTTTTTTTACTTGTTCTGGGTGGGGGTACATTGTGGCATTTATAAAAGTTCTTACAATATTCAAATATATCATACTTGAATTCACCAGCCTCCACCACTCTCCTTTAACCCTTCTCTCCCCATTCCCAGAACAGCTTCAACACGTCTCATTTTTCCATTTACATACATATGTACACAGAATTTGGACTATATTCATCCTCCCATGCCCTTTCACATCTCCTCCCTCTCCCACTGGTACCAACACCCCCAGGCAGAACCTGTTCTCCCCTCTAGTTCTCTATTTTGTAAGTGGAAAAAAAAAAGTCATTTTTGTTTTAGGTATGTACACAGGGAGTATCCTTGTGACACTTCAATGTATATATTTATTATAACCCAAATTGTTTAATGTTCTTTCTTCCTTTATTTATTTTGCAGTACAAGGACTTGAACTCAGGACCTTCACATTGAGCCACTCCACCAGCCCTATTTTTGTGAAGGGTTTTTCAAAAGAGGGTCTTGGGAACTATTTGTCTGGGCTGGCTTTGAACTGTGATCCTTCTATTCTCTGCCTCCTGAATAGCTAGGATTACAGGAGTGAGTAGCTAGGATTACAGGAGTGAGCCACAGATGCCTGGCCTTTATTTTTTTAATTGAGGTTTCTAAGGAACACTTGTTTTTCATTGCTGGCTTTCTTTATTGAGTTTCTGTTTCAATATCACTGATTCCAGTTGTGGTTCTTTTTGTTTTTCTCCTTTTGCTGGTTTTAATTTTTACTTTCTCAGCATAGTTTCCTAAGGTAGGAACTTGGATTATTGATTCTGAATCCTTGTTTTTGTCTATTATACACATTGCTGCCATCAATTGTCTTCTAAGCACTGTTTTGCTACATCCTACAGATTTTCATAAAATGTGCTTTCATTTTCATTTAGTTCGAAATTAAAAATTTCTCTTGTGAGTTATTTTTTTACTATCTGTACGTATGTTGTTTAATTTCTATATATTTGGAGTTTTCAGTTTTCTTTTGGGTATTTGTACCACTCTGGTCTGAAAGCAGACATTGTGTGCTTTCTAGTCATTTAAATCTGTACAGGTGTATTTTCAGGCTGAGAGGGTGGCCTGTGTTGGTGGTTGTCCCTGTGTGCATGGGAAGAATGTGCAGTCTGTTGCTGGAAGCAGTTATCTATTGGTGCCAATTACATGCACTTGAACTCAACTGTTGTTGAGTTGCACTGTGTGGATCTGTGTTTTTTTAGAGTGGACTGTTGACATCTCCAGTTGTGCTTGTAGATTCATCTTTCTCTGGCACCTCTAATAATGTTGCTCTCACAGAGTTTCAGAATCTGTTGATAGATGCAAACATGTTAAGAATTGTTACATGTTGCAGAACTGGTCACTGTGTTGTTACCTAGTGCCCCTTTTCCCAGTCACTTTCCAGGCTCCTGCTGTACAACTCGGCTACATTGCTAGCCCCTGATTTCCTTTGATTAGTGTTAGCATGATATATTTTCTGCATTTATTTTTTAATTAACATTTAGTTAGTGTGTATTAATTTCACAAAGGTGTTTCATTGTGACATTTCCATACACATATGTGCATGTAATGTACTGTGTTCACATTCACCCCGTCCCCATCCATTTACTTTTAATTCATATGCATTTTAATTTATTTATTTATTTATTTTGGTGGTATTGTGGTTTGAACACAGGGCCTCATGCTTCTTAGGTAGGTGCTCTACCACTTGAGCCACTCTGCCAGCTCTGTTTTGTGTTATATATTTTCAAGATAAGGTCTCAGAACTACTTGCCTAGTACCTTCATCCTCCTGATCTCTGCCTCTGATGGTAGGATTACAGGAGTGAATCAGGCATTTGTGTTTATATTTAAATGAACTTCTTGTACCCAATACACAGTTGAAGTTTGTTTTGCCCACCTGTCCTTGCATGCTGTCTATAGTTTATCAATTAGCTTCCTTAGTGCCTTAATCAGAGTTTTAACACAAGTTTGCTTTGTGATAATGCCATGTCTGGTTCTGATGCATCCTCTTCCACTTCAAATTATGTATTTTGCTTTTTAATATACCTAGAAATACTTTGTTTATACCCTAACATGTCATGGCAAATGAAAGGAACTGTTGGAAGTAATACATTTAGTAATATGGTAATGTATGGGGGAGGGCATGCTGTGTTGTTCTATTAAGGCTGCTATAATGGAAAGACACAGACTGCAGTGAACTCTGTCTCCTCTACTCCCTTTTGAATACAGAAAGAGTTGTTGTATTTTCAGTTCCTTCAGCTCTGTGTTTGATTTTTTGGATGGAGTGAGTTTCCTGTGTTTATCAGCTTTCTATCTCTATTACAAATTACCTGAGATAATCAACTTAAAATGAGGAAAGATTTACATTGTCTGTTGGCTTTGGAGTTTTCAATGCATCATCATGTGGCTCCCTTGCCTTTGGGCCTGTGCAAGGGCCCAAGTACATCATGGCAGAAGCTCATGGCAAAGGAAGTTGCTTAACTCATAGCCAGGAAGGGAAAGAGAGACAAGAATTGGCTACATCTTAATATCCATTTCAGGGCACAATATCCATGACATCTTAAAGATTCTACCACCTGCCTGTTGCACCATGGACTGGGTCCTGTATGGCATTCCATATCCTAACTAAAGCTGAACAGATATTAGGTTGGTACTTGTATTTTCATTTATTTATATATTTTTGAGGCAAGAGCCCTCTTTACCTCATACTGGTCCTGTGTGCCCTGTGTAGCTCAGACTGTCCTCAAACTCATGATCCACCAGCCTTTACCTCCTCGGTGCTTGGATTATAGATGTATACCATAATGCATTGTCCGTGGTCGAAGTTTAAAAGAAAGCTTGTCGATGTCTATGTGAACCACTGAAAAAATCTGTCTCCCTAGAATATGAATATACTTAACTATGTTAGTGGAACTTCTTTTTCCTTTTTTGTTTCTGAAACATGGTCTCACTATGTAGCTCAGGCTGCCCTTGAACTCATGATCCTCCTGCCTCAGCCCCCTGAGTCTTGGTATTACAGGCATGTACTACCATGAAAGCCTCAGAAGTCTTAACATTGATATTTTCTTTATTTTTGGAAAAGTCAGAGAATTATTTCTTGGTCTTTATAGTCTATTTCTTGTCCTCTATCAGGATATTACTTTCTTTATGTTCTTTTTCTTGTTTCTTCCTTCTCTGAAGGCCATCCATTTCATTCACTGTGATAACTTTAGGCAGCACTAAAATTTTGTTACTTAGCAAATTATTTTATCTTCAGTTTACATCTCTCTTCTGAACTGGAATCATGTATGCAATTGGTAGTTGGCCATCCCATAAATGTGGTATCAGACATTTCAAATGTAATATGTTCAAGTGTGTATCACTTAGTTGGATTTGTTTTTGTTTTGTTTTGGCAATGCTGGGGTTTGAGCTCAGGACCTACTGCTTCCTAGGTGGGCACTCTAACATTTTAGTACTCAGCCAACCCTTTTTTTTTTTTTTTACATTGAGTATTTTCTTTTGTTGTTGTTGTTGTTATTCTCCTTTTCTTATGTGTGTGTCTGTTGGGTATATTTGAGAGAGTGTCTCATGAACTATTTGCCTGGGGTGCCTTAGAACCTGGATCCTGCTGGTCTCTGCCTACAGAATAACTAGGGTTACAAGCATGACCCAGTAGCACCAGGCCTGCTGTCCTATTCTTCCATTTTCCAAATTACACATTATGATGCCAGTGTTTAAGTAGCATCAATCGTGCAGATCATCTGGAAGTAAAATATCTTTTTATCTTTGCTCAACAGATCCTTACCAAATTCTGTTCCTGTACTTCTTTTCTTTTTTTCTCCTTGAAAGTTACCTCTATGTTCTGTAACCTTACTATTTCTTGTGATCTGACATCTAGTTCTGGTTTCTTAATCTTAGGCCTTTTCAATTCTCCTCCCAGGGTTGACTGATGGAATATAGATCTGCTCAGTTTGCTTACTTGTTCTCACCTGACCTCTCGTTTTACACCAGTAGATTGGTAAATGGCAGAGATGCCTGAAGTGAACGCCAGCAATCTTTTGGAGGTAAGAAGAAAATATTTTGATGCCTGTGTGCATATTTTTAGTTTATTAGTCATTTGAAAAGAATCCTAGGCTTCTCAGTGAAGTGCAGACTCATCATGCAAAATAGAAGTGTATGTTCTCCTTCCTTGCTTCATTTACATTAAAGCTATAAATCAATTACTGTAACAGACCTTGGGCTTTTATTCATATTTAATGGTTTCTTCATTCCAGATCATAAACTCCTTAAAAGAACAAAATTTTATTTTATTTTTTTAAATAGAGTGGAACTTGCTATGTAGCCCAGGTTGGCCTTAAACTCAAAATACTCCTGTCTCATCCTCTTCAGTGCTGGATTTACAGCCATGTACCACCAGACCTGTCTTTACTTGTACTTTATTCCCTTGATGTAAGTATGTTTTAGGTTTTTGAGGTAAACTTTGTTACAACATTTTTAATACCATTTTGTACTTAATAAATTATTACAATGGCGGTACATTTGTGTGAGTTTCCTTTACCATACAGAGTACAAAACAAGTGGGATGTTTTGCAAAATATATATAAAAATCCCCCCACACTCCCATTCCTACATATAGAAGCAGAACTTCGATATTCCAACTACTGGTGAACTGAGAAGAAATATGGCATTCCAGAACTCAGTGTCATTTGAGGACGTGGCAGTGGACTTTACCTGGGAAGAGTGGCGGGACCTGGACAATGCTCAGAGGACCCTGTACAGGGAGGTGATGCTGGAGACCTACAGCAGCCTAGTGTCCTTGGGTGAGTGAAACTGCCCTGTAGCCCTCAGGAGTAAGCGCTATCTTCTCAGTAAATATATGAAAACTATTTAAGTGCACAGTTCCAGCCCATGAAGAACTCAGTTGCTCATCCTCTGTCATAAAAAGTTCACATGTCCCCCTTAATTGCACAGTTTCAAAGCTAGGGTTTGTCTTGCTGCAAGAACCTGATTTAAAATGGAAGGGATAAACCAGTATAACACATATATGTATATAAGGAAATGTCACGGTGAAACTCCCTATATAATCATCATAAACAAACAAATTTTTTTTTCAAGAATGAAGGAAAAGTAAAATGTCTGGGCTTTGGTATGGCATAAAAAAGGGTGAAAGAGGGTGAATATGGTGGAAATAGTATGTGTTCATGTAAGAAAATGAGATAGATCTATTGAAACTTCTAAGAATGGTGGGAGGGAGGTTTTATTGTAAATGTCATGTGACCTCTCCCCTGCTGTACAGCTATAATATGCTAACACATCAATAAAAGAAAAAAAAGAAATTCAATAAAAATTTAAATGTAGCTCCTGAGTAAGAATCATCCTGTTTCAAGTGTTTGAAAGTGGTTGCTGTGACTATCAGCTCCCTTGCTGGTAACCCAGGTACAGAACATGTCCATCATTGGAGAAATTGATAGTGGGGAAAATACCTGACTTAATTGTATGGCAAAATCTACCTTGTTTTGTATGAACAGGGCAATGCATCACCAAACCTGAGCTAATCTTCATGCTGGAGCAAGGAGCAGAGCAGTGGATGGGTAAAGAACCCCCAAGCCAGAGCCCACCAGGTGAGTTAGTGCATCCTGAGTGATGAGGGCATTAGAGGGAAGTCCAGCAGATGTCAGCCATATTGCACTGATGTCACCAGGTTATCTTCCAGATTGCAGAACTAAAGATGCTGTGCTTGCACACATCAAATCTCTGCATTACATTCCCCAAGGAATGGTTGCTCCTTTTCCCTCACATATTTTTTACCTTTATCCCAAATCTAAACCCTATTCTTAGGTATTTTTCTTTGGTATTTACTTTCTCAGTCTTCTTAGTTGACTCACCCTCCATTCTCATGGGTTTTTCAAATAATTCCTTTTCAATAATAAATTAATTTTTGTGGGACTGGGATTGAACTCAGGATTTTGAGCTTCCAAAGCAGGCAGGCCCTTGCAGAGCAGATACTCTATCACTTGAACCACAACTCCATTCTATTTGACTGTGGTTATTTTCGAGGTAGGGTCCTGTGATCTGTTTGCCTGGGGCTGGCTTTTAACCAGGATTTCTGATCTCAGCCTCCTCAGGATCCAGGATGAGAGATGTGAGCCTCTGGCACCTGGTTTAAAAATTTTTTTGAGACAGACTCCTGATACGGAACATGGCTGTCCTTGTAGTATGGATGTTCCTGCTCTGCCTCCTTAGGGATTGGATTACAGGTGCCCGCCCCCATGCTTGCTGTCTCATGGACTAGTATTGTCTGACATTTATTCATAAATTATTTATGCTTCATCACCTTGTACTGAACTTGGTTTTAAGCACTGGCAATTTTATAGTTGTAATGATGTAAGAAATTACGAAAATAATGTCTCTTTCATTGAATTTATAGTGTGCTGAGAGAAAAGCAAGAAAGTAATATATCTTAGTTAAATTATAACGATGAACAATATTCCATCAGCATAAGAAAAGGAATCTTGAGAAGGTTGGTCAGAGAAGACAGTCTTAGGTGGAGTTTGTTTGTTTGAATTTGCTCTCCTGGGGATTGCACCCAGGGTCTCAAGGGTGCTCTTCAAGTATTGTACCACTAGGGTACATTTGTAGTGGAATTATAAAGTGTTCATCTTGACATAGCTTGAGATATAATTCCTCTTTTCAAAATTTTACACATAATAGGTGAATATGAAGATCTGTATTTGAGAGTCTGTATCACTCTTGGAACCACAAATTTGGAAATTGGTCAACTGAGCTATTACTTAAACTTACAAAGCAGTTCACATAGGGAGTGAATAAGAAAATAAGAAAAGTCCAGACTTATCCTTGTGAACCATAAGGTCAGACACCATGAAAATGGAGAATCCAGCATATGGATCTGCATTTGTGGAAAAACCAGGACAATCTTGATCCCAAGCCTGAGTGAACTAAGGGTTGCATGTTGAGGAGCTCACATCTCTGTTTGGGAGTGGAATTTGATGTTATCATTTTCATCTTCTCGTAGTAGATATCAGTATAAACAAGAAAGAGGAGGAGAAATGTTGAGAAGATTCCATTTTCTATGAAAGTAAGAGGAAACTGACAGTCCAGTGCATAAGGTGACATCATTCAGGAGAAGTTGGTTTTCCAACATGGGTGTTTGTACCAGGAATAAGGGGGAGATACTGGGACTTTTGGTCTTAGAAGGAGCCTGAAAAGCACTGAATAAAGATGATGGGCTACATAGGTGGATGTCATGGGTGGTGGGAGGAAGAAAAAACTTCTATTTCTGAAAAATAGTGTTAGTTAAATTAGAACTTTGTAGGAGCTCTTTTCATCTATAATGGGAAAGAAGACATTTTATTTTTGAAAAACTCCATAGATACATATAGTTATTCCCCATGTGAGAATGAAAGCTAAACAAATATAGAAACAAATGCTGTACCAATGTCATGTTCCTGCTCTTGTGGCATTCAGTCAGACTTCACTTGTATCATGCAAGTTGCTGGTCCTGAACATTCTTGTACCCATAAGAGTAGAATAATGAGAAGAACAGCAGCAGGAAACCCCAGCATTGTCAAAACAATGGGGGAAAGAAATGGCAGGGCAGAAACATTCCATGGAAAATGATGCCTTGGCTGCAGGTGAATATTTTAACCAGTACTACCTCAGGCAAATTAAATGAAAGAAGCAAGGAAAAACAGTTCAACAATATAAAATCTATCACTGTCATTTATTATTTGAAGTCTGTAGGAAGACAACTATACAAGCCAATACCTTTTGTGGTTTTTATGAAATCTTATGCCAGTAGGATGGGAAGAACCTCCTTTGTATGCACATGCATGTTTCCATAGAAATGCTTAGTTGTGTTTCATGTAGATGGTTACTTTCTTTTTTCTCTCACTTCAGATGTCCAGAAGGGAGATGTCATAATTGAGACCAGTGAGGAAAGTCAAGACAGACATTTGTTGCAAACTGGAATCACTATGAACAACACACCACCTATGGAGAGAGTTATATTAAGACATGCTGTTCATTTGACTTCCAGCCATATTTCAAATCTGATTGTAAAGAATGCAGGCTCTTTAGGAGTGAAGCCCAAGCAGTTGAATGTATGCGAGAACAGGCATTGCCCTAGTAAGCCTGATGGGATGTATGTTGGTGAGAAACCCTATCAGTGTAATCAGTCTGGAAAATGCTTTGTAAAGGAGTCACACCTCACCCAGCATCAGATAATTCACACTGTGAAGAAGCCCTATCAGTGTAATCAGTGTGGAATAGCCTTTAACAAGAAGTCATATCTCACCAAGCATGAGATACTTCACACTGGGGAAAAGCCCTATAAGTGCAGTCAGTGTGGTAAAACCTTTGCCAGGAAGTCATACCTTACCACGCATGAGAAGATTCATACTGGAGAGAAGCCCTATAAGTGTAGTCAGTGTCATAAAACCTTTGTCTCAAGGTCAAAACTCATTAGGCATGAGATGATTCACACTGGGGAGAAGCCCTTTCAGTGTGGAAAATCCTTTCACTTGAAGTATATCCTCGATGTACATGAGATAATTCACACTAGGGAAAGGCCCTATCAATGTAATCAGTGTGGAAAAACCTTTTGCCACAAATCAAGCCTCACTGTGCATGACAGAATTCACACTGGAGTAAGGCCCTATCAATGTAATGAGTGTGGAAAAACCTTTGGCCGGAAATCAAACCTCAGTAGGCATAAGATAATTCACACTGGGGAGAAGCGCTACCAGTGTAGTCAGTGTGGAAAAACCTTTCACCTCAAGTCAACCCTTGATAGACATGAGATGATTCACACTGGGAAAAGGCCCTATCAATGTAATGAGTGTGGAAAAACCTTTGGCCGGAAATCAAATGTCACTCAGCATGAGAGAATTCACACTGGGGTGAAACCCTATCAGTGTAATCAGTGTGGAAAATCCTTTAATCGAAAGTCGATCCTCACTGGACATGAGATAATTCACACTGGGGAAAGGCCCTATCAATGTAATCAGTGTGGAAAAGCCTTTGGCCAGAAATCACACCTCACTGTGCATGAGATGATTCACACTGATGATAAGCCCCATCAGTGTAATCAGTGTGGAAAGTCCTTTCACCTGAAGTCAATCCTCATTGATCATGAGATAATTCACACTGGGGAAAGGCCCTATCAATGTAACCAGTGTGGAAAAACCTTTCGCCAGAAATCAAGCCTCACTGTGCATGAGAGAATTCACACTGGGGAGAAGCCCTATCAATGTACTCAATGTGGAAAGTCCTTTCACCTGAAGTCAATGCTCATTGGTCATGAGATAATTCACACTGGGGAAAGGCCCTATCAATGTAATCAGTGTGGAAAAAACTTTTGCCAGAAATCAAGCCTCACTGTGCATGAGAGAATTCACACTGGGGAGAAGCCCTATAAGTGTAGTCAGTGTCATAAAACCTTTGCCTCAAAGTCGCAACTCACTAGGCATAAGATTACTCACACTGGGGAGAAGCCCTATCAGTGTAGTCAGTGTGGAAAGTCCTTTCACCTGAAGTCAGTCCTCATTGCACATGAAATAATTCACACTGGGGAAAGGCCCCATCAATGTAATCAATGTGGAAAATCCTTTGGCCGGAAATCAAACCTCACTAAGCATGAGATGATTCACACTGGAGAGAAGCCATATAAGTGTAGTCAGTGTCATAAAACCTTTGTCTCAAAGTCACAACTCACTAGGCATAAGATTATTCACACCGGAGAGAAGCCCTATCAGTGCAGTCAGTGTGGAAAAACCTTTTGCCAGAAATCAAACCTCACTGTGCATGACAGAATTCACACTGGGGTAAAGCCCTATCAATGTAATCAGTGCGGAAAAACCTTTTGCCAGAAATCAAGCCTCACTGTGCATGACCGAATTCACACTCAGAAGAAGCCCTATCAGTGTAATCAGTGTGGAAAAACCTTTGGAAAGAAGTCAAGACTCTCTGTGCATGAGATGAGTCACACTGGGGAGAACCCATACAAGTGCAGTCTGTGTGGTAAAACCTGTTTGGGGAAGTCAGGCCTCACTAGGCATGAGAGAATTCACATTGGGGAGAACCCCTATACGTGTACTCAGTGTCATAGAACCTTTGTCTCAAAGTTAAAACTGACTAGGCATAAGAGGGTTCACATGGGGGAGAAGCCCTATCATTGTAATCAGTGTTGAAAAACCTTTGGCAAGAAGTCAAGACTCACTGTGCATGAGGTGAGATAGACTGGGAGGAACCCCTACAAGTGCAGTCAGTGTGGTAAAACCTGTTTGGGGAAGTCAGGCCTCACCAGGCGTGAAAGAATTCACAGTGGGGAGAAGCCCAATAAGTAGTATAAAACCTTTGTCTTAAAAGTTAAAACTCACTAGCATAATATGGCTCACACTGGGGAGAAGCCCTATCAGTGCAATCTGTGGAAAAACCTTTACCCAGAATCCACACCTCAGTAAGCATCAGACCACTCACAAGAGAGGATCCTTTTGAAGATGGAAGAGCTTTCTCAGAAATCAGACTTCAGGAAACATGAAAGAATTCTCACAGGGGACAGTCTTGAGTGGCAGAGGCTAGCTATGTGTCTTCCAAGAGCTGTTTTCTTTTCTCTGGGATTCAGCAAGCTCTTCTCTGCTTCCTCTTTCTGTGGCCAATAGTTCACAGCTCTCTGTGGAGATAAAGACACAAGTGATGAACATTCCTTCCAGGCCTAAATTTAACAGTGACCTTCCAGTCCTACCAGACTTGGGGTTGAGCACTACATGTCTTCAGTCATTGTGATTTCAGACAGAACTGTAGAGAACAGAGGACTTTCCACCACTGGCCCAGCACCATCTATTTGTTACATATGAGAAATAAACCCTACACTGCGCAGCCATTTTATGTGTGTTCTGTGCACACAAAGCCACTGTTGCTTACTCACTTTACAAATATGGGAGGTGTTCCTGAGATACTCGTCAAGTTCATGTTCATCAAAAATTCATATAGAAGGGAAACCTGTGTTGTCCTCTTCCATCTCCAAGTCAGATTTTGGGAGAAGGAAAGAAATGTGGGGGACAGGGAGCAGTGTCTTATGACTATAATCCCAGCTATTTGGGAGGTGGAGGGTGGAGGATTGTGGTTCAAGGCTATATTGGGCAGAGAGTTATCAAGACCCCATCCCAACTAATAAGCCAGGTGATTAGCTACAAGTCACTGGTGCCCAGCCTCTGGCAGAATATTTTGGAAATAAAGAGCAAGGGGATATGTTTATGGGTTTGAACCATTAGAATTTCCAAAATGTCCACCAGCCAGGGAGCAGTTTTTCAATACCCCAAAGAAGAACCACTGATTGTTTCATCACCCAAATAGAAAATCTGTTTGCATGAAATGCTAACTTCCCATTTTCCTCTCCATCAGCTCCTAGTAACAGCTACTATGTGTCTATGGATTGTTTCTTATAAGTAGAATCATAATCCACAAGGCTTGTCCACGTTCTCGCTCCTATCAGTGCCCATTCCTGCTTATGGTTGAATAATACTCAGTTATGTGGTGCTGTCATGTAGTGCTGAATAGTACTCAATCTTTTTTATTCTGCAATGTTGACAGTATTGTTCCAACTTCAGTTTCAAATTTTATTACTTGACTGCACTACTTTTCTTCTTTGCTAGTCTAGCTAAAGTTTTGTCATGTTTGTTAGGTTTTGTCAAAGAACCAATGTTTGGTGTTTCTAATTTTTCTTTTTCTTTTCTACTTGATTTATCTTTGCCATAAACTTTATTATTTCCTTCTTCTAGCTTTGGGTTTAGATTTCATTTTTGGTGAGAGGAGATCTTTGTGCTTTTCTTACAGGTGTGGAGAGGTATAAATTTGCCTCTGAGCAGTGCTTTTGATTTCACTGTATGAGTAAATTTTGATTCATTGTGTTTTGGTTGTCATTGTCCTTAGGTATCTTCTTTCATCTGTGAACTTTTTTCACCCTCTGGTTGTTTAAGAGTGTATTATTTATTTGCCACATGTTGTTATCATATATAAATTTCCAATTTTCATTTCTGGTTTTATTCCACTATTGCAAAAAAAAAATCCTATATGATTTCAGTCTTTTTGCATGTATTAAGACTTGCTGCCTAATACATGATCTGTTCAGAAGAATATTCTATGAGCACTTGAAAAGAATATATATTCTGCTGGGGTTGATTTCAGTGCTCTATATAGCCTGCTAGGTGTGATTGATTTATAGTATTGGTCAAGTTCTCTGTTTCACCATAGATCTAGGATATGATGTGTTAAAGTCTTTTTTACATCTAGTTTTGCTTCCTATAGTTTAGGAGTATTCATGTATTTGGGGATATTATGATAAAATTGTATCTTGGTGAATTGCAACTTCTATCAATATATGCTGACCTTACTTGATAATATTCTCATTACTGAAATATATTGATTTAAAGTAACAACTCTTCTGTCTTTCTATATTTGTGTATCTTGGTAGTCAAAGTGAGTCTCTCTGAATGCAGTTTATATAGCTCATGGATTTCAAACCCACTCTGCCAGTCACTGCCTTTTAACTGGACAGTTTAACCCATCTGCATTTATAGAAATTCCTGAGAGGGAATGCCTAACTCTTGCCATTTAGCTATTCACTCTATGTCTTTTTTTATTCTTCTGAGACTAGAGTTTGAACCCTGGCTCGTGTTTGCGAAGCAGGCACTCTACTGCTTAAGCCTCATCTCCCCTCCATTTGGCTCTGATTATTTTGGAGTATTTGAAATATTTGAGTATTTTACTTTTCTGACCTGAAACTGGGATCCTCCCTATCTCAGCCTCCCAATTGCTAGGATGACAGATAGGAGCCACCAGCATCTGGCTTCTGTTTGTATGCTTGTTTCTTTCCATTCCTGCAGCACCATTTTCAGGGCTGGGGATTTTACCCTAGGACATCACGCAAGGTAGGCAAGGACTCTACCACTGAGCTACATCACAGCCCTTTCACTGAGTTTTTGTACTGTGCCATTTTCTTTCCTTTCTGTATTCCTTTTATTTTATTTATTTATTTTTTACTGGTTTTGGTTGTCATTTCAATGAATACCTTAAACTCAGAAATCTAGTTGGAATAATATCCATTTAGTTTCAGTGGTATGAAAATACTCTTTTCTTATACAACTCAGTTCCTTCCCTTTATATTGTCATTATCACAGATTATGAAGAGGGATGGGCCAGAGCCCAGTGCTCCTGGCAGCAGGCAAATCACTGGAGGCCAAGGAGGGACAGGTGTGGAGCACCAAGCAGGACCGTGCCAAGGCCTGGACCAGGGGATGGAGACCACGCTGAAAATTTAGTTAGACGCCTCTTCCCTAAACTTTAACTCCCTCCCCTCTCCTTTCCTTTGCTTATAACAGTCGCACTGTGAGATAGCATACAACAAGGTCTCTAACCCAACATGGCCTGGTGAATTAGAAATGCAATAGGCATTTATGCAGGGTTTTTCTGCCACACCCCCTTTCCTTCTTTCTTTCTTTCCCTTCCCCAACCGCGGTTTTAGAGAACAATTGAGAAGCACACTCTTACAGGCTTTTCATTTAAAAAAATAAATGAAAAAACTGCCTCTAGACAGGCTGATGACTTCTGCCTGCCCTGGGAAAACAGGAGCCTCTGCATGGCTACTTGGGAAAGCAGGGAAGGAAGCAGCGCAAACAGGGAGCAAATGCACAGCTACTTGAGGGTTGGGAGATTTGCTTACCATGGCACTCACCCGTCTGGGGGAAGGGGAAGATCCTCCTGGAAATTAACTTTACTATGAAATGCATTATGCCCCCTGCCATACTTCCAAGTAGAGAAAAAATACTGTGCTCTAATCAGGTTAAGGTGGGCAATTGACCAACAGTTTTCTTGTGTCCACTGTGATGTCATCTTGATCTCATTATACTCTGAAATTTTCTCCCCTGTGGGTTTCTCATAGCCATATGTTAAGTGATTCTTGAGACATGTCCTAATTCTCAACTTTCATGTTAATCACTCCCTGTGGGCTGGGTCCAGCAGAGGGTCTTGACACTACAGGCCTCTTAAAATTCAATAAAAACCTGCACAGGAGCCAGGCTCCAAGACTCACCCCTGCAATCCCAGATTATGGGAGGCTGAGATTGGATCTCAGTTCTATCCTAGCCTAGGCAAATAACTCACATGACCCCATCTCCAAAATAACCAGAGGAAAATAGAAAATGGCCTGGAGGTGTGACTAGCAGTAGAGTGCAGCTTTGCAAGGACAAAGCCCTGAGTTGAAACACCAGTCCCACAAAAAAAGAAAAGGACAGTATATAAAGTTGTGTTTCTTTTTGCCTCAAGCCACTTAGCACTTAGGTCCAAGGAGCCCCAGGTACCACAAAATAACCTAGAACTTTCCAACCATCACTTCTTCCATTTCAGTAGCAACATTCTCCTGATCCTAAACCTTTACCTTCCCTTTGTTTACACCATGCTTTGTTACAAAAAGGGTTTCAGCTGAATACTTGATGTGAAAAGGTGGGGGGGTCAGATGGATGTATTTGCATGAGTGAAATAACAAAGTGAAAGATTTTATACATTAGTAGGAACTATTACATTGATTTAAGCCACCAATAGGAATCTTTTTTTTTTTTTTGTGCTACTGTGGTTTCAGTTCAGGCTTACACCTTGAGTAACTCCACAAACCCTTTTCTGTGATGGGTTTTTTCTTTTTGAGACAGTGTATCATGAACTATTTGCCAGGTATGTCTGTCTGTGAATGGCGGTTCTCCTGATTTCTGCCTCCTGAATAGCTAGGATGGCAGGCATGAGCCACATTTGGGCATTTTTTTCCCTATAGCTTCAACTTCTTGGTGTTTTGATGCATTCTGCTTCTCCATCCATCATTCTAAGGAGGCAGTATTCCCAGACTTTACAGATAGAAGATGGAGTGTTCCAGACTCTGTGTGGTTACAGAACTAACAACAGGAAGCAGGCCTTCTTGTTCCAGAGCAAGGGCTCTTCCCATTTCTGGGATTCCGCTGAGCCACTAGGTGTGGGGGGTTCAGAGCCATATTAGGGTAGGGGAACAACCTAGGTCTCTGTTGCTTGGTCCAGAAACCCAACTGGCGCTCAAGAACTACCTTGGAATGGAGCAGGCACAACCAGCCATGAGTGACTGCACACAAATGGCCCATTGCACCCCTACCAGGCCCTTTGCAGAACTGGACACAGCTGACCCCCATGATCTCCAAATGAAAACCAGAAGCCAGAAGTTCTTTGTGCTTTCAGAGCAGGATTCTAGATGCTGTCAGAGCCCAAGGGCCCCACCTCTGGGGTGAGGAGTCATGTACCCATGTTATAAGAATTCCCCTTAGCTGCTTCCAGTTTGCAGTGGGGTTGAGAACTAGTGTCTTGGAGGCATGGCTCAAATGGTAGCATGCCTGCCTAACAGGTGCAAAGTCCCGAGTTCAAACCTACCTCCAACAACAACAAAAAAAATGAAGGTAGTGTCTTAAACTCAATTTATTTGTGAGACTCCAAAACACTTACCTACAGAGACACCTTTGCAGAAGGCTGTAGCTGTATCCCATACCTGCCACTTTTGGACCACCAGGCTTAAGGGGGGCTTGGTGGTGGTCATGATATAGAGATGATCTGTCCAACTGGATCCAGTGCAGCCATCATAGTCTCACCAGTGCTCACAGGCTGGGGAAGGGAGTGACTGGATTTTTTGTGGCTGTTATTATTGTTGTGGGGGGTGTTTTTTTTTTTTGTAGTACTGGGGTTTGACCTCATGGTCTTGTGCTTTCAAGCAAGTGCTTAATCACTTGAGCCACAGCAACAGCTTTGAAGAGTGACTCTGTTTGAGAGACCCTCAGCTGGGCTCA